GCCCTGTGGGAGGTTTTGGGAGACCCAGCTCCAATCCTTCTGCGCGGATCCGGCCACCAGGAGATGGGACAGCAATCAAGAAGCCTAAACCCTAAACCCTAAACCCTAAGCCCTAAACCCTAAACCCTAAACCCAAATATTTTGGTCCATTGTGTTCGCATATAGTACCGACTATACTTCTGTTATAGAATACCGACCCCAAACCCTCTTCCAATGTATCAGGTCCCGATAGAGGAGTTTCAGGCTTTGGCATCGCAGGGCTTTGCACCCTAAGCCCTAAACTCCTAAACCTCAAACCCCAAACCCTAAACCCTAAACCCTAAACCCTAAACCCTTAACCCTAAACCCTAAGCCGTTTGGGTCTTAGGATTTAGGCTCTTGAGCTCCAGACGGTAGCCCCTAAACCCGAAAGTCTCCCAAACTGTGGAGTTTAGGACCTGCCCAAACCCTAAACCCTAAACCCTAAACCCTAAACCCTAAACCCTAAACCCTAAACCCTAAACCCTAAACCCTAAACCCTAAATCCTAAACCCTAGCCCAGCAATCCCCGCCGGAGGAATCTTGAAAAACATTAGCTCTCAACTCTGCACCCTAAATCCTGTGCACGCTGAAATCCTTGCAGCCCTGCTTTGATCCCGCAAACCCTAGGCCCCCAAGCCCCAAAACCGCCAGCACTTTAGGTTTTAGGGTTTAGCGTTTAGGGTTGAGGGTTTAGGGTTTAGGGTTTAGGGTTGGGGTAGATGGGCACAAGCTTCGAGGACTCTGGTAGCTCCAAGCGTAGTCCGCATCCTCGGCCGTCGGCAGGAGGTCGAACCGGCTTCTTCTTTGTCGTTGCTTTACTACTCTTTCTTAGAGTCTTCTTTGTTATTGCTGTACTACTCTTTCTTAAAGTCTTCCTTGTAGTTGCTTTACTACTCTTTCTTCAGGTCTTCGTGAGTTGCGGTTTTCAAGGCAAAGTTCTTGTACGACTTTTTGTTACAGGCTCTACAGCGGCTGAGAGCATGGGGGTCAGAGGTTTGGGGCTGTAGGGCCTCAGGGGATTGGGTGCGTAGAGAGGTCCAGGATCCGCATTCAAGCACTTCGGTTTCAGGGTTTGGGGTTCAAGGACTTTCAGGAGTTTAATCCTCAACCCTAACCCGAATTGAAGGAGTCTGGAGGTAGTTTCGGCTTAGAGAATTCAAAATTCAACAACTTCAGGGAGCATCGGAAGGCATCGTCCAGGGGACCAGCGATCGAAGATCCTTTCGATTGAGACGAGTCGGTGTAGAAATCCGGACTCAGGGAGAGCGTCAACCCGCAGCGCTGAAGAGCTTTTGAGGAGTTTAGGGTTTAGAGTTTTAGGGTTTCGGGTTTTAGGGTTTAGGGTTTAGGGTTTAGGGTTTAGGAGTTTAGGGTTTAGCGTTTAGGGTTTAGGGTTTTAGGGTTTCAGGGTTTAGGGTTTTAGGGTTTAAGCTTTAGGGTTTTTGGAGGTGGATGCAGGGATGTAGGTTCTGAGATGAGACATGTGTACCAGTCAATGCCGGCGGTGCGGGATGTGTGGGATTCGGGGCTTTCCACCAACCCAAGCCCAGAGCTCTAACTTCCGGCCAAAACTTTGAGTTTTAAAACACTGCTTGGAGGTTCATGGGTAGTTATATGTGGAGTTATAAGTGCCCCAATATAGGTTATAACTATAGTTACCCTACTTGTGACTACCCATGAACCTCTAAGCGAAGCTCAGGCCCGAAACCCCAACTTCTAAGCTTTAAAACCCCCCACCTGAGAGCCGTCTGAGCCCAAACGGCCTCACCGGACGTGTGCAGGCAGAGAACGCACGCATCAATGGGCCCGGGTCCTAAGAGGGGTTTAGGGGTTTCGGGTTTAGGAGTTCAGTTTCGGGTTTACGTGTTCAGACGTCGAGGGGTTGCGGGGGTTGCGGGTTTAGGGGTTTAGGGGTTGAGGTTTAGAGGATTAGGCTTTATGGTTTAAGGTTTGGGGGATCAGGCTGCCAGAAGGTCGCCAAACTCCATATGTATCAAAGTACGATATGCACCTCAACTCGATTAGCGCGCAAGCCCGAAACCACACACAAACCGAGAAGCCTTGTCTCTACCGAAGTATTTGGGGTCTACTTCCCTCGGGGGTTTTGACTGTCAGGCTTGTAGAAGGATCATGGGACTTAGTAACTATGGTTATAAGTTAAAGTAATTAGGGTTTAGGGTTTAGGTTTTAGGGTTTAGAACCCCAAGTGAGGTACCCTAAACCCTAAACCCTAAACCCTTCAACCCTAAACCCCCAGATTCAGGCCCCTCTATAAGTGGAGGAGTACACCTTGGAGGATCTCAGAGCTTCGTGTAAAGCTGGACTTCAGAAGCCCCAAGTTTTCCGTCGAGTTTAGGGAAGTTCAGGGTTTAGGGTGAGAGGGGTTGAGGGTTGAGGGTTTAGGGAAGTTTAGGGTTTAGGGTTATAGAGCCCCAAATGTTTAATCCTAGAGCCCTGAATCTGAGGTCCTATGCGCTGGCCGGAGTGATCGAAGGGCGCCCGGCCTACGTCCAGCCAGGCGGACCCTGGCAGAGGGGTTTAGGGTTTGGGGTTCAGGGTTTAGGGTTTAGGGTGCTGATGGACACAAAGCCTGCTTTTCCGGGGTTTAGGGTTTATAGAGTTCAGGGAAGAAAAGTCTGGAGCTGTCTTTGTTGCAGCTTGACTTTCTATCTGGATTTAGCGTATCACAGTTGCAGTCTAAGTACTTTCAACATGGTCATTCCTGCATCAAGCTAGGTTTCCGAGCTCAGACGTCATTCGTTTGCACGTAGCAAGAAGTGTGTCATGTTCAGGTTGCCATTGCTTTCGCATATTGGATGTTTGTTTGCCTGGTTGTCGCTCGCTGGCCCCGGAAATCGCAAAATACAAAGCACAGAGCTGCAGTTGTTGCAAGTGTTCTTCCTGCACATCCAACTGGCGTGGCAGTATTCCTTAGGGATTTAGGCTTCTGGAGGCCCAGAACAGAATTGACCCACCATGAAGCCAGAAACGGCAAACCCCGCAGGGACCAGGCACCTCATCCGCTACTCGTCACGCAGCTTGGACGCAGCTGACGTGAAGCATTTTCGTATTTGAATTTCTTTTTGGGGTGTTTGGGAGGAGTTGATTGTTCCAGGCTTTAGTTTTTGGAATAGACGTGTGTTTTATCGTTCGGAGCTTGGAGTGCGTTTGTTATTTCAAGCTTGGTTTGTGTCCCGCATTGATCTCAAGATGGGTTCCCCACTGGCGAGTGAAATTTGCTAGCAAGGAGCATAACACGCTAGCGGTAGATTTCCAGAATAGGACCTTCAGGTCTTCATACTGCTCACATCCCTAACATTATATGCGCCAAGCTGTCTTCTACGGAGTTCGGCCCCCATAGGTACATTGGAGTACCAAAGCCTAGATTGCTAGGAGGGGCCTCAGATCTGAAAACCTGATACATAGACGTACGGTTGATGATATAAATCCTGCATTTCCCATAACAAGGAACATACTATATTTCCCATAGTTTAGGGTCCTTAAGACAATGCAGGATTTATACTATCAACAGGATCTCATAATGCCGTGTAGCTTGAGCACCAAGCTCTAAGCCTACAAACCCGAAACCCCTACACCCCAAGCCTCTAAACCCTAAACCCCTAAACCCTAAGCCTCTAAACTCAAAACCCCTAAACCCTAAGCACTAAACTAAACCCAAAACCCCTAAACCCTAAGCATCTAAACCCAAAACCCCTAAACCCTAAGCACTAAACTAAACCCTAAACCCCTAAACCCTAAGCACTAACCTAAACCCAAGGCCTAAATCCTTTGAAAGACAGGTTCGGATCGCTGGCTCGTAGAGACGGATGGCTTGGTGGAGTGGGGCGGCACAGGAGGATACTGTTCATGGACGGAGGGTTCCATAAAGGGTTTAGAGTGTAGGGTTTAAGGGGGTTCTGTCATTCCGTGCTTGTGAAGGGTTCTTAAGGGTTCTTTAAGGGTTCTTGAGGAGTGCTATGAGGGTTCCGGAGGTTTTAGGGGCTCGATGTATGAGTTCCGAGAGGCTGCAGTACCCCAAGTACCTTGCATAACTTTTTGATCTAATGCAGCTACGGAGAATGAAGCCCGTGTTCATCGACAGGTGACAGGGTCGGGCGGATACGGGGATCTGTCAGGATTCCGAGATAGGGCACTGGGTTTGGGGTTCGTGGGGCTTTTGGGTTTCAGGATGTAGACTTTGCAGGTTTAGGGTTTGTTTTCAGGCTTCAGGCTGTTGGAGAATTGGACGTTTGGAGCCTTTGCATTAGTGTTCGGGTGTTGTTCGAAGCAGCAGGCGTACGAAACTTGAGGGCTTGTTTTGCAAACCTTTCATCCCCAATCCCCAAGCTAGAACAGAACCGAAAGCCTAAACCCCAACCTAAACTCAACGCGCCACTCCGCCACTCCCACAAACTTGAAGCATGAACGAGTTCAGCTGCAATGCTGCCAATGTTGAATTCTCAAACTTTCTAAGGCAGAAGATACAACCATCAAGCCCGAAATTTGTCCCTAAACCCTAAACCCTAAACCCTAAGCCTTAAACCCTAAACCCTCAACCCTAAACACGAACCCCAAAGCCCTAAGCCCTAAACCCCAAACCCTAAACCCCACCGAAACCCGAAACCAATAAGATGCTGGGGCCGCCGGTCGAAGCCCTCCCCGCACACCCCGAAGCCGTTCCGGGCCTGGGACCCTGAATTCGAAATATTCGAAACCCGAAGCCGAACCCTGAAAGGGTTTAGGGTTTTTGGGTTTAGGGTTTAGGGTTTAGGGTTTAGGGTTTAGGGTTTAACCAGACAGACAGACAGACTGACAGACTGACAGACTGACAGACTGACAGACTGACAGACATGCATTCATGCATACATGCATGCGTGCATACATGCATACATACATACCTTGAGCAATATACATGCAGGGGTGGAGAGACAGACAGATCGACAAGCCCTTCCTGAAGAATACTCCCGCGTAAGACCCAGGCCAAGTTTGGCGACGCGCCTCTACCACTGGGTGTTCGGTGGAGATCTGAACGTTCGGGCCTTTATGCGGGGCTCGAACCTTAAGCCGAAATGCCCAAGCCCTAAGCTGCAAGGTTGGAATTCCAATCCTACTAAACTTCTACATTACGACCCAAAACGGATTGCTGTCTGCTACTCCTGCGCGAATTTTCTGAGGCCCTCTTCGGGGTTTCAGGGGTCCCAGGTTCAGGGTTTGGGCGTCAACCGCTATCTCCAGAAGTTCGAGAGTTCGAGTCCGTGGCATGCTCACAAGACCAGGAAGTTGAACAAAGCTTTCAACTCGTAGGGTTATAAGTCCCCTAATATGGGCTGTAGCTGTAGTTGTCCTACTTATCCCTAAACTTTAAAGCCTAAACCCTAAACCCCAAACCCTAAACCCTAAACCCCTAAACCCAAAACCCAAAACCCCAAACCCTAAACTCTGAACCCTAAACCCCCCCAAACCCTAAACCCTAAACCCCCAAACCCCTAAACCCTACACCCCTAAACCTTAAACCCTACTTGTAACTACCCACGAACC